GTTCTCGTTGGGCGTCTGGCCGTACTTCTTGATGGCGCTGCACTCGCCCTTGTGCTCGGCCCAGCCCTCCCGCTGGCAGGTGCGGTCGCAGTAGTGGGCGAACTTGCACTGCCCGCAGCGCTGGAGCTTGGGCTGGCGGGCGAAGCAGGTGTGGCAGACGAGCTGCGTGAGGCTGGGGAGAGGCGGGCGACAGGCGGGCGAGAGGGTCAGCAGGGAGATGTGGCGGCAGACTGAAACGATGACCCGTGAGGAAACATGAATACCCCACAGTGCCCTGGTCAGTCAGATTGCCCCAACAGAACTGGACCCTTGCTTTTAACTCTTTATCCTCCCTCCTCCTCATCACAAAGCTGGTGCCCTGAGATAGCGCCTCTCTGAATTCAGACTTAAAAGCAGAATCTGTGCTGGTACTTTGTGAGAGTGTGATTTAGGCCTGGTTCAGGTCCCAGGATTTTTTTATTACAATTTTAGAGTTGTTTTTCCACGATTATAAGGACAGAATTCTGGGCTGTCAGTGTCTGTAGGAGGTTCCTAGGGTAACTGATTATTACTCTGTTATCAAGCTGTAAATTGGCCGAGTGGACTCTGTTCTAATTAGCCAGAGCCAGAGAGGGTCGGATACGTCCCAGTGGGAGCCAGGCTGTCGGTCAAGAGCGGTACAGGGTTCAGGAATCCCCCACTCGTCTCCTCCGGTAGCGAACAGCAGACCCAGCATGGGCCAGGCAGAGAGAGAGAATGTGCTGTGGAACGGAATGCGGCCAGAGCGATCGAGGTGACAGGGACGCGGTATAAAGCCCACAGCTGTGTTTTGAAGATTTACAGCAGCGGGTTGAAGGCTGTTTGTTATTGAGCCAGCTGAGTCAGCGATCCTGAAACAAGCGCGGAGAAGAAGCTGGTTAAAGGGCAGCCAGCTGGGCTGGAGAAGCTGAAGCAGCAGACGAAGAGGAGAGCGACCCGAGAGAACAGCGATCCCGGAGGGGCTTGTGGGTTTCGAGAGGGCTGCTGTGTTGGAAGGCAGCCCTTTCTGAAGCTGCAGAGGGAACAGCACCGCCTGTGTGCGTGCGTGCGTGCGTGCGTGCGTGCGTGCGTGCAAGGGTGAAGCCCTTCCCCGGAACCAGAGGTGAGAATGACAGAGGTTCCTGCTGGGACAAGTTCTGCAGTGTGAGAGAGCAGGGTGAGGTGCTGTCAGAGTGAACGGTGAGGCGCCCGTGGAGGTGGGCATGAAGGCCAAGGATCGACTGGTGGAGGGTCTGGAGGGAGAACTGCACTGGGCTCCATGTGAGTGTGAGCTGGCGAAAAGGCCCAAAAAGTCCAGTGATCATCTGCAGCAGACTCTCCTGATCGACACCCAGAGTGGAGTCACGCGTTATCATTCAGAGTCAGGACCTGGGTTCCTTACCCATTGGATATCTTCCTTAATTAGTAACTTTATAACTCACCCAGTTTGTAACAATAACAGTAAATTCCTTGATTTATACAGCACCTTTCATCCAAAAGTATCCTAAAGCTTCACATGTAAGAGGGACATGCTTCCTTCCTCAGCGAAGTGCAGCCCCACCTGGGAGACACACAGAGGCCATTCTGCACCAGCAGCCCCATTCTTCTGGGGGTAGGGCTGGGATTAGCCAGATAGAGCTTTGGAAAGTTGACAGAGAAACTTTAACTTTGTGGATCTCTTTCTTTTCCCAACCCTAAGAGCCACAGCCCTGCAGCTCCTTCAGGCCTGTTTACATCACCCCCACTTGAGACTCAGCAAAGAGCAGCAGAGCTCAAGAGTTTGTTCCATTACTAATTAGGAACTCAACAGATATGAGGACTAGGAGCCCCTGTTGTACAGGGGCACAGAACCCTTATCTCTTCCCTGTTACTCATGAGGTGGTCAGGTGTCAGCGCAGACTGTAATTCTGCTGAAGAGAAGCTGGCTCCTGTCTCAACACCCAACACCCAACACCCAACACCCAACACCCAACACCCAACACCCAACACCCACCCACACACACACACACACACACACACACACACAGGGATGGTGCAGCACCAAACTCTCACTGCTTCTCACACTCCATGTCTTTATCAGTCTCATCATCCAACACAAATCACCTAGACAAAAGATCACAAAAGAGCACTGCAGACCATACATCATGCACGTCTTTGAAACCCTTTACGTGTCACAGAAACCCAGAGAGCTCTCAGCAATGTCCACACTGTAAACAGTGCAGAGGGCAGGCGAGCTGTGCGCAGCTCTGGGCTGTGTTACTGCAGGGCTCACAGCCAGCAGCGATGTCACCTGCAGAGGGGTGACCCCCAGATCGCCTGTTCCCACACACCCGGTCAGCTCCTCTGCGTCATTGATACCAGCGGACTGGTACATCTGTCCCTTTTGTGAGAGCAGCCAGACGGACTGCAGCTGTCTGTGCAGGGCCTGACACACACGCTGTCAATCTGATTGTCTCCACACAGCTGCCCCAGGCCTCCCTGCTGGCCTCTGGGCTTCCTGGCTCTCCAAGTCCAAGTAAGGCTCTCACTGCACAGGTGGTGACACAGCCCCTGCTCATTCACTCAGATCCAAATGACCGATGAATTACAGCTTTAAGCATGTAAGATAAAGGCCGATCTGACAGTAGATATATAACAGATACACAGCTCTAGGAGCCTATCTACAACATTAGGAAGTTAGTAACCAATCAATCTGAGGATCTCTTGAAAGAGTCCAGGGTAATGGGTGTAACAACATGGCTGGGTAACTTCCAGTTCCAGTCTCTCACCACCTTTTGTGTAAAGAAGCACCTCTTGTTATCTGTTTTAAATTCTCTGCCAAGTAGCTACTGAACCACTAGCGCCCCATGGTTCACCGTTCATTCTACTGAAGCCCACTGAAGAATACCATGAGGATTTGGAATACTTGAAGCAGTGTTCAAATGTGTTTGTTTTTATCTATTTTCCAGAACTAAGAGGAAAGAAAATGACTGCAATCTGGAGATGCAGGCTGATCACACAAAACAGAGGGAAGAAATCATCCTGGGTTCCTCTCAGGAATTTGGAAGCACATCCCTGCCAACTCAGAGAGTATTTATGAAGTTCAGCTCAGAGCTCCTTCACAGCTGACATTTTCTCTCCAAACAAACCTGTTTGTCAGATTCCTATTTTGAAATGTTATTTTTAAGTTTGCATCAACAAGAGTTTCCATTACTAAGCGCCAATGCATGATGTGATGAAAATGCTGTGATTCCCTTCTGCTTTCCTGCTCTGTGTTCCTCTATAAATGATTCTGCATACTTTTCTGTAATAGAATTCCATTATACAATTTGATTATAATTTTTAACTCCATTAAAGTAGCTTCATAAGTAATCTTTAGAATGAGGTTCATTTTCAAATTAGCTTTAGTAAAACAAGCAGTTTTACTCCTTTCTGCTGGTCAGTAAAGCTCTCACTCGTTTAACTTGTGAGCTCAAAGCCTCTGGCCCATCAAACGCAGCCCTATAGCAGGTCTGGCCTCTCCCCTTTGACCCATCCAGGAGGGGGCAGTGTTTGGGGTATGAGCTGGCGGTACTTGAGCTGTGCTGTTGAATGTGCCGTTTGCAGACAGGGCCTGACGGCTCCTCAGGAGAGGGTGATTAACAGGACCTGTTATCAGCCGGCAGCTGGTACGCTGGTTCACTGCTGTACAGTAGCAATTCATCAGACCCACTTCGGCAGAGCGTCCATATTGGAGCAGGAATGAGTGCGATGTGGGAGAGAAGGCCGGCAATCTGAACTGTGTCCTGAATTCTGCAGCCAGCGCTGGAGCAGCCCTGAAAGACGGAGTCTTCTTCCCAGCAGAAGAGCTGACTTGGAGCTTCTGGAACGCCAACCGGAGAGGCAGGTCTCAGGCTCAGGACAAGCCTCTCACCTCGAAACACACAGCAGAGCGCGGGGCCCCGTCACCCAGGGGCTAGCAGAGCCGGTAACGTTGTTTTGTCAGGCCTGTGCAGCCAGGAGGATCCGGGAGGTCCTGCAGCTGGGAAACCCGACGCTGGGGTCTCAGCAGGGGAGCCCCAGATCGGATTGCACCAGTCTCAGCGAAGGGGGTGTAGGTCAGGCGTTGATGTTTTCACATCTTCTAGACAATGTGGGGAGGCAACTTACTCGGCAAACCAAACAGCAGGATTTAAAGTTAAAAGCACGGAATTTAGGGTGTTGAAATTGTATAACAATGAGCTAGTAAGGCCTCATCTTTTGTACCACTGTGGTCACCATGTTATAGAAAAACCAGACACATCCCGGGACGTGTCCTACACCGGCGTTCAGACAGCATGTTGAACCTGAGCTTGTTCAGAGGCCTTGTGCTCAAACTGCAGAACAGATTCTGAGGGAAAGTACAGAAAATACCACAACAAGCACTAACCCCTGTGAGAACTTTCCTCACGAGAGCTGGCGGCATTTCCCATGTCCACTTTCTCCAGTCACCCTCAGGGAACAGAATCACTTCTCCCAGTCAGCCATCTTTCCCAGTCCCCCCTCTGCCACAGGATGCACATTCCTGATCTGAGCTCTGCGGCTCACAGTCCCTGATACAGTCCCTGATCAGGGGCTGATCAGACTATCTCTCAGCGCTGGAGAGTGTCATGGTGACCCTGGCAGACTGTCAGTAGCACGTCTGTTTGTCTCAGATCCAGTCCTGCAGGCAGGCTGGTCCCCTTCCACAGTCAATAACAACTCCTTTTCCTTTAAAAATAAACAACCAGAACAAAAAACCGAACTCCTCCTGAGAGTCCTCACTACACTTCAGAAACGATTTCCCTGACTGCAGCCAGGGCTGGACTAATTCCAATCACCTAAACAGTGATATAACTCCTTAACTTGGCTTTTAACTTCCGATGACCTTTTTCTATAGCTGTATCCAGCTAAGAGTTGCCAGTCTTGTGACTCAGGGAGAGTGGGGCTGTACAACAGATTCCCTCACTCCCTCACAGCCACAAGTGTGCACAGCTGCGCAGGGCCTGGTGCAGATGCAGACATGACTGAATACTGTGATCAGCTGGTCCTTTCTGTGTCCAATGGCAGATGACTGAGAAGGGTCTGCGGTTTTGTTCTGACAACGTGCACACTGACACTGTCCAGGCCGGTGTGCCGGGTGTTGCAGACAAAGCCGATGGCACTCGTGATAGTAGGCAGTCTGTGAGGTGAGGGTTGAAAATAGAAGCACAGCGTGAGTTTTCCAGGAAAACAGTAGGGTGGACTGGGGGGGGGGGTTGTAAACAGGGTGGACAGAGAGGCACTGCTGCTGATGTGATGATATTTTTAATTTGACTAAGAGTAATCAATAAAATCATTCTATAATTCTAATTCTAACTATAAGAATTCTAAATTTCCACCAATCTCATCACATAAAGAAGGGGACCATATCCCCCACTGATGCAACCCCACCTGGGAGACACACAGGGATCATTCTGCACCAGCAGCCCCACCTGGGAGACACAC